CCCAAGTATATGATCGATTTCAGTCCTCTCAGAATTAAAACTCGCGGTCTTTCCAAATCACCGTAGTTTTACCTTTTCTGTGAAAACAGCGATATAACCTCAATTAGAAGGATAGTGCAAATTTTAAATAGAAGTTGCTAGTTTTTGTAGATGACAACGTCAAGATTCAGTCTTTAATCATSGGATTATAGTTGAAGGGTCTTTTTAATTTCGCTATATATTGCAAACTCGACTCCTGTGTTAATTTCTGACAAGACTGTGATCACGTTCTATTAATGTTTCAGACCCAAAACTTGGATATGGAGGTGATAAGTCAGATAGAATACTGCGAGTCTGTAGCGACATACAAATGGCTTGGAATACTGTTCGCGTATAAAGGTCTTCTATTATTATTCGGTGCATTCCTGGCTTGGGAGACGCGTAAAGTAACGATAACAGCGCTAAATGATTCMAAGTAAGAGTATATCATACCCACTTTCCAGTTGTACAACAATCTTAGTGATACATTAATTTTCTCACAAAGTCCGAACAAGAACAAAGCAAATCGAAGCAAAAAGGGCATAATATGGTGTCTCTTTATGGAAGATCGCAGTTGCGATCGAAACGTCTGCCATAAWTTTWTTTATTCAAGCTAGAGACGACTCAATTTCTTTRTCATGCAACATCCTAGCTGCAACTTTGAAATATTTGGTGGCTCTATTGTTAAATTATACCGTCYATGTTCTTTTTAGACACATTGGTTTTTCTGTATACAATGTATTCGTACTATGTGTTGTGGGGGCACCGATGTCGCTGGCTCTAAAACATCAACCTGATGCATCGTTTGCCATTGTATCTACGATAATCATATTTGCTACATCGTTAACGATTGGTTTTGTATTCATACCGAAGGTAAGTGGATTTGTTGAAAAATATGACAAGTAATGTATGCATTGTCACGACCAAACCAAGCTTATCATTCAACTGCGTCACTCACGTCACGCAATTTTGTCGTTGAGTCTCCGTACTGCTGCTGCACAGTTAGTAGAATAATGCTATATTTACATTATTGTATATAATTAGTGGCCAACGAATTATAACTTCGGTAGTATACCGGTGAGCGTAGACAACAGGGCCATAGGCAGGGTCCAGAAGAACTTAATGGYATGCGCATGCCTTGGATGACATYAAATAAATGCTATATATATACAGAGTCATAGTGCCTGGCCTTGYAGCAAATATTGATAATTCCTACCTCAGACGAATAGGCAAGATGCAGCCACGCTATTTTGTGCAGCAAAGCATGGTGGTAGTTGTAGTCCTCGTACTTTTTCATGTGCGCTAAAACTGTCCTTTCGAATTTTTTTTTTTTTTTTTTTTTTTTTTCTCAAAGGCAAAATAGATTTTGTTTTGAAGCGCAAAGAGGCTTTAAAGGAGATATCTAAAGGTCTATAGTAAGATTGAGGACTACAACTACCATCATGCTTTGCTGCACAAAATGGCGTCGCTGCACATGGCGTATCAGGTCAATTGTGGTTTGCGGACGTCTATAGACTTCTGAACCTTTAACGTCACTACTTCATTTCAATGCATTGTGGGATCAGTTTCAAGAGAAAACAAAAGAAATCCGCCATGTTCTATCCCAAACATATCCTACAATGCGTTGCGCATACGGTACATGACGTAAAAGCTGCACTAGAGAGGTCTATTAACATGCGTAACTTCTGACCGCTTCTTCCTGGATGATGCCGTGCATGAAGATGCAAGTTCTTCTGGAGCTACGTACGCTCTACATAGCGACCAAAGGTTTACATGTAACAGGGCTGACTGAAAAAAGACTAGGACTTGGCTATGATTACCATATACTTTATATTTTTCATAACTTAATGCTACAATCGAAGAATGGTTCATTTGTGCTCTGGTATTTTAGTTGTGGGAATTCAGGAACAATGATTGGAATATTGATGTCATTTTGCACAATTGTTTTCAGTAATTAAATACCATCTTATCATTGTTTCTTCGTTTTGATGATAAATCTTCGAGTTTGCCGGGCCGAACACATCTAGCATTCAGTGTKAAAGTATCTTCCAGATAACCGTGCAGTTTTTTTGATTTTAACTTCCAGGTAACCGAGCTGCGCAARCTTATGACTGTGGGTGGGGATACGATTAATCGTGTTGAACGAACATTTACTGTGGAAAGTCTTGGTCACCAACAACACATATCAACAATCAACACGCAGACTTACAGGGAATTACAGGAATGTAAAAATCTCTTAGCGCAGGTAAGGATAATCATCGAAAAAYTGCATTGGAACCATAAGTTAGAACGTTTAAATCAAGGTCGAAACCGAAATGTCTGCATCGACGTGACTAGTGTCATTCTCTTTCATYTTCTTCATTACTATAACACGTGATCAGTTTGCTGATATTCAATTGATAGGATCGATCGATTGCTTTTTTTATTGTTTGCTTTCAGAAAGAGCAAGAAATCAAAGATTTAAGAAAACGACTGAACACTTATCAGCCTTCATCTTCAAGTCAAGARGATCATATCAAACAGGAACCATCAAAGACCCCTCCCCCTAATATCTCTTAGAGTGGTTCGAATTAACTTAAAACTATCCCATACACTTTTTTTATTTCAAATGCAGTCATTAATCGAATAAAATATTTGTAAATCGTTTGTATGTTGTGCAATGTCTACTACTTATTTTTATATTGGTTTATTCTTTTTGCTTGTTTGGTTTTCTTTTTTTTTTTTTTTTTGCTGTTGTATATGTTTTTGTTTTCCTTTTTTTTTGTCTTTTCTTTTCTTTTCTCTTTTTTGTGATTTTCAAATGTTAAACCCTATTTGCTTACACTCAGAAATCTTTCTCACAAATGAACACTAGACACAATATATTGATAATAATTTATTTTGATTTTGGCGTGATGGAATATTTATAACGCATGTTGCAAATTTGTTGCAACAAATTTTGCAAATTAATGTTTTTGTGGTGTCATGGACTTGTTACAAGTATTTACAATTGAGACCATAAGTCAAGTAATCTTTCTTAGAAAATAYAAAATGTTGTTTTAGGATTGTGCAATGGGTGTTGCCTCGCTTTCTTTAGCTTCAGTGAGAGCCCTGGACTCGTGAGTGAAGACACTGAAACTCAMACCCTGAAAACACAAAAGAGATACTTTATTACTAGTTCATATATAAATCTTTAATGTTTGCCATTTCGACTTCCCAACTCCATTTACCAAATTTGTCTTAAATTCGTCCCAGTCCCATTTTTGTAAAGTGGCTAATAGGCAGGACTTGGTCACGTGCTTGCCTTACCATAAAGCAACCCGGATTTGAAGAGCAAAGAACCCGGATGAAATCAATGCCGGCTATCAAACGTGACAGACCTTTTCGTTGTTAAAAAAAAACAAAGCGAGCAGCATGTTTGCTGCAGCCCTCAAATAAACAAGAGTGCCAAATTATAGCAAAATTATTTTCCTGACATTGCAAAAAGATAAAAAAGCCGGGACAATTTTTGGTGCAAAACCACAGGCCCCTCATCAAACTTGCTTTGTAACTACGAAAAGGGCTATTAATTAAAAAGCGTCACAAAAGAAACGACTTTTTTTCGACCTCGCTTAACTTCTGAAGGCCAGAAACCCAAAAATCGTGTAACTTTTTTTGCTTATTTTCATACTGCTGAATACCTCAAGTTGAAAATTAGAACAGGATTGTCTTCTGACAGTTTTGACATAATATTCGTTGGCCGAATTTCAATGGTACACTCTCATGTTCTACTACTGGTAGATTCCACAGTTTGTTATTAGTCGGTTGTAGGGTGATGTAAAAAGAATTATTTCAGCACTGAGTTACCTGACTGAGCGCTGCCCTGACAAAAGCAGAATTTGCTGTTACTGTTACAGCCTTCATCTTATCTCCAGTCCCAAAAATTATCTACAATTGATAACAAAAAAGAATGATATGAAAAAGGGATGAATAAAAAAATGAAAAAATGAWCAGGCATATAACAGCAACCAAAACAACAGCCGATTAACCCGATACTCTCCTAGTCTTCCATTCAATTTGAATAATTGACTCTTCCGTCCTTCCCTCTACTTTCTTCCTCCACTTCCCTGCTAACATCCCATCCATCTTCCTTCTTCCAAAAAGCAAACGAATAACAAGAGGAGAAAAACAGCAATTGTATCTTTTAATCAAATGTCCATTGTCAACTAGCCTCCCTTTATGAGCTTTGGTTTATCATGTTTTTTCGTAATGTCAGCCAAAAAACKTACTATTTAATGTGTGAACGGAGATTTGTGAAATATAATCTTGAAGCTGAAGGATGGGAACGGATTGCGAGTGGATATCTGAAACCTCATTTTTCTATACATCTTTCACTTACTTTWGATCTAGATTTGATACTGGCACTGTTCTTCAGAGACAAAGCCCTCTCTGATGGATCATCTTGAACTTCATGTATTCGCTTCAAAAATACACTGAATAAAAAGCGTCAAATATTTTATCATCATCTCACAGTATTTATTTCGCACAAAATTGTAAGAACACATACATAATGCAAAATTTGATGAGTCTCTATACCTTGCTCTTTCCTTTTCCTTTGGTCCACCAATGGTTTGTAAGATTTTTTTAAAGTCAGCAATGGCCGAGTTACATGCAAACAGTTCTTTGCCTAAAAATAATAAATGGTGTTAACTTATTTGTATCTAAATGACTAAAATCAACATTCAAACATAGTATAGTTAGTATARGGAGACTCTAACTATGATTCAAAGTATAGGCTCAGCAATGAAGCACGAGAAGCAATAGAAGGAAAATGAAGAAGAAAAACTATGAGAAGAAAATATTGAAGAGAAAGCTAAATTAGTAAAATAAAAGAGAAAGRCRAGAAAGAAAAAGAACAAGTAAGTACATCATATAATAGCCCTAACTTGCAGTAGGAGTCTTTGAGAAGAGTCRTAGGACTAAGAGTAAGACTGATTAATATTCAAACATTTTGACATTCAAATATTGCTGTCGATTGGGAGACTAATGACCAAACATGGAATGGCCACCTCTAATGMMACGAGGCAGTGTGAAAGATTGATATGCGCATGTGCATTTTCCTTGAAAGTACTAGAGCAAGACTTRTGCTGACTAACTACAGCTGGCTCTGGCCTTTGTGATTTGATTTCTCTTTCCGGGCCTAATCCCCCTAATTAGCAACCACCACATATCGGCGCCATTTTTGAAAGTCATACATATCTGTGAATTACCTTCGAAATAGCTGATTAGCTTTGGCAGTAAAGGYTCTTGACGCTCTCGTTCAGCCTGAGAGTTTATGATGCCATCCTAAAGATAGAACACAAATAAAGACAATACGATTAGCCCGGCGATTAGGCGCTACCAATCAGACAAGCAGGGCCATGCCGGCCCACACCGATTCACGCATCGCATATCAAACAAGAGAATGAAAGAAATGCTGGGATAGTGTAATATTCTGGTTGGGAATGGTTGCTGGTTTTTTTGGTTTTTARCCAAAATTTTATTCCCTGATCCCAATAATTTGTTCAAATTTGATCCCTGATCCCACGAAACTTGAGTGATCAAGTGCATTTATTTTTTTCAAGCTGAACAAAGTATTTGGGATCCTGATCCCAAAGCAAAAATGCTGACCCTGATCCCCAAAAAAACTGATCGCTGATCCCACATCTCATGTCACAACCCTGAGGTGTCGCATCTTGCAAGTAGCTGCTACGTTACACTGTAGCAACCCTGACAAGGCACCTCTGATACGCCTCTACCCTTCTAGTAATTGTGAACCTAAACTGCATGCATGAACTTATTTTCAATAAAGCCCTTTTATAGACATTTTCAAACATGACATATTATAAGTATCCTTAATACTGATATGGTTTATGCAATACCTTGAATACATACATAGCTCCTCCATTGGTCACAGCAGATACATATGCAAGCATTGTTGAYACATCAAGATTTGCTTGATTTCTAGATTAAAAAATGCATTTCTTAGCCCATAGTAATGTAATTAAAAATGTTATTTACCGGTTATAGGTCAGTCTGTATAGAAAAACACTGCCCTCAGTCTTTTATGTACAGACCTCACTGCGCTCAATCCGTACTGTCAAGACCTCGGGCAGTGTTTTCCTATACAGACCTCCCAGCCGGTAAATATATATATATGCTGGGAATTGAACATACATGCATGCTCTTGACTGTGTGATGACTGGTAATGGTGAAAGTGAAGTGTCAGGTTCACCAGGATCAGGAATTATATTTCCTTGAACACTGATTCCCATCTCTGTAAGCTTTGCTAYGGAATAAAGCAATAATTTTAATCTTCAATAATTAAATTATAGCACCATGATAGTGTAAGCGAAATCCCTCAGTGGTAAAGCAAAGATATGCCGTAGATGAGACATGATAATAATTGGTTTCCTGTTTTAGGAAGAAATTGATAAGGATAAAATTTGTTTGTTCAGGCAATTGAAAATGCAGCAGAGAAATCCCAATCCTCAATTTACTTGGTCCTACAATCCTCACTTGTGATTTGAATCAAACTTCAAGTCTAAATTAATCTTTAGCAAGTCATCTTGTAATGCACTGGGGATAGTCAATATAWAAATAAACGATTTTTTAACCAYTAATCATATGCCTGGCCACCATCTTGAATTTTGAAGAAATTTTGGGATGTCCAGGGGGCAAAAGTACAGAAAAATGTATTTCACAGATATTTTTTTAGAATCATGTTTTAAGAAATGATAATTCAATCCCTGGGCATTCCCATAGTTTCTTGCTGCATTGAAACTTTTAAAAAACAACTGAGTTCAAGATGACGGCCATTTATTATTGAAACRTAGCAACCTACTTGCTAAACTCTGTGTAACACCATTGCAGAAAAKAAATGATACAAGGGGAGTTTGGAAGTGAACAGGATGCCTTTTACTGCATTCAATAAATTCCTACAAAAAATCAATGGCAAAACCTTTCCAAAACGACATTTCATATACATTTAAGTACATCTCATGTACAGTATACCTCAGCTTGGTCAACTAAATCTTTTTCACCATAGTCTCCTTGGCCTGAATAAAATTTTGAAATATGAACTATAAATAATAGGSCATGTACAGTTAGTGGTCATGTGATCACAACTACCTTATATAAATCATAAAATGATACACACAAATAGAAAGAGCAGGTTGTTGAAGGTAAAATGCTTGAAGTCTMAACTCTAAATACTTATAATAAGAATGGCAGTGATTGTAAAATCTTCATTTTTCCAAAGTTAATCGAGGGGAAATTCCCCTCGAATAACTATGATTTTTCTAAAGAAACCTTTGGAAAGTATTGGGAAAAAAAGGCCTTGCTCTTGCATGATTCTTTAAAAAAAAGTTGTTGATTTTCTTTTACTATAATATGTTTTAAATACTTCATGAAACTATGTCTTCTTACTAATTCTGACCTGTTCTTTGTGGGCATTATTTTTCAGTCTATAGCTATTTTTCAYCAGCTGCACAGGGCTTAGCAGCAATTGAGATTCACTTTGTTGCTTTTTCTCTGCTTACTTTGGGCTTCCTGCATTGAGGTCAAACTTAAACAAAGACACAGGAGGGGCTTCAGTTCCCAGTCATTCATTCATTCCACAGGAAGCCCAAGGCAGAAAAAGAAAAGCATCTCCTACGGAACTACATACAGCTAAATGTAGCACAGGCTTTATTGGATTTTTATGGAGTATTGCAATTGATTAGCTAAATGATAAAAGTAGTGAAGTTGTCCTTCAGTAGTGAGAGTATGAAGAGGAATAGACCATACGCTACTGCGGTTGTTGTTTTAATTTTGCTCGAGCTTTCACTGGACACCAGCATCGTCAGGAGACAACGAAACAACAACCACAGTAGCATATCGTATATATTTCTCTTCATACCTCACTAAATGATGATTGTTACTACCTTGCCATACTCTATGCAAAGCCAAAGGATTTCTTGCAATAACTTTAATCCATACATTTCCAGTGGCAGCAACTACATCTACTGTACAGCAAACACTCTGCTCTTCATCCTCACTATCTGCTCTACTTTGAAATGTTGTGATTACTGATTGAACTTCCTTTGACTCCTCTGAAGCATTGACAACACCACTAAGATGAGCAAGATTAGTGCTTTGGATGTGACTTGACTTGATTGGTGTCTTTCTATCTTTAAGCTAAAAAAATCATGAAAATAAGCTTAAAATAAAATTCAATGTATTTCAAGAAGAATAGGAACTATATAGCGTAAATGCAGTTAAAGGAAGCGGAGGAAAAAAGGAAATTTGTATTAGAATAGTAGATAATCATTTCCATTAAATTTTCAGACTTACTGAAGACAAAAAACTAATTTCTGCCTTGATTTTCCGCTGSAGTTTCTGTACACCATCCACATGTGTTCCAAGCTTTTCGCATCTTTCAAGCAAATTTTCAGCTAATTTCAGTCTTTTTTCTAACACAACATACAACTCTTCTTCTTCTGCCATATTCGGAATCCATATGTTGTCAAGAAGAGCTGTTACAGCAGAAAATAAACTGTTCAAACTGTTTAATTCGCGAAGAATGAAAAACTTTTGCAATAATTTAGAGCGGGACTGGCACTAGTGTCATTCGAAGTTCATTTTATTTTTACAGTTCACATTTTTTTATTGATTTCATCATTGGTTATAATCTAAATGAAAACAAAGCGCTTTTATTATGCCTTTTAAATTGTATTAAAACTGATTTAAATCGTTTAATTCGGATGTTGAARGAACAATGAAGTACCGGGATCCCTTTGTCGATCTTTTGTTTACAAGTCTCCAGTCTTTCAGCAGTCTTTCCGGTTATTTTTCAAACCGGAAAAAAAWTGACAAACRTRAAACCAAATTTCCAAGAAATCCAAAGGAAGCCTACGACATAAAGTTCRCTTATAAAGAAGCGAATTGAMGAAGTGAGGTTATAAAATTACGTTTTATTTTACTTAGCATGATTTTCGATGATTCAGCGATTTAGCCAAAGTTGATATAATGGCCTTCGGTGGGTTACTGACGAAATCTTGTGATTTTGGACGAACGATTGAGCAACTTAAAGAAATTTGCAATAATGCTGATTCAGAAGAACTCTTAATGCTTGCTGCTGGTCAACAYTGCCTGGATGTCAAATTCAACGATCTTGTTCAAAATTCTCATCAACAAACATTCATATGTTCTGTAAAAGTCGGAAATCTTCTTGGACACCAGGAATGCATAGGATATGGCCAGTCAAAGAAAGAAGCGAAGATAAATGCTGCACAAGAAGCTATTTCAGAAATAACACAACGATTGAAAGACTCATCGCCTTCTTCGTCGCCCTCTGAGGTGAGGTTTCGCAGAATCAGTCATACTAWTCATGACGAGTCATAAAATGATACTTTATACAGTGCATGAGCACAAACAAAGGACTTTGAGTAATTTGTTTTTAAAGAAAAATCAATTCAGAAATGGTGAAAAAAACAGAAAGTGAAAATTMATCATGATTACATCATAAAACTGATTGTAACAATTAATAATAAAATAATACTTTAATATTTATTTACTAAAGCAGGAAATAATGTCATACTTACAGTTATAAGAGATCATTGTGAAGTTAGCAGCAAGACCTAGTGTCATTATGATCTCAATCATCCAAAAAGGGATGATCGACAATCGTCTTTATTATATTCTAGTTTCCTCAAGGGAATTATGAAC